GTGGCCTAGCTGCGAGACCGGCTTTATTTATTAGTGATATGATATGATATATTAGATTTGTTTCATTTTTCTGGACATGAAATTTAAGAGGAATTATTGAACTTACTTATTCCCTCCGTCCTATATTATAATTCCTGCTTTCCTATTTTGGAGAGTCAAAATGTTGTTTCCATTTCTATTTTTGAATAGTACGTAAAGACTATTATTACCCTCATTTTTTAAAACTTTATTCATTGTACTTCCTAAATTACCTTTGAATTTTCCACTTGCTTTGTACTCCCTCCGTTTTTAAATACTTTTTTCATTTCTCCATGCGCAGAGTGTTAGGAGAAATTAGAGAAAATAATAAAATGTGGAGGTAGTGGGGTAGGTGGAAGAATAAAAAAATGTTAAAGAAAACAAAAGTAGTTGAGAGAATTGGAGTAAAAAGAATATGAAATTAATAAAATATGATTTATGTTGGGTCCACTAGTTGAGAGAAATATATTAAATATTGTAAAAAGTTTCCAAATAAGGAAATGGAGCAAGTATTTAAAAATGACCGAAAATGGAAAGTGGAGCAAGTATTTAAAAACGGAGGGAGTTATTTTTTTCCACTTTCTTTCTCTAACTTTTGTCTATAATTGTACTTTTTTTTTTAATTTTTTTATGTACTTCATTCACTTTCTCCTCTCTAACTTGTCTATAATTGTACTTTTCACCTTTTTTGTTTATATATGTACTTCATCCACTTTCTCCTCTCATTTCTTAAATACCGTGAAAAAACACAAACAAGAACTATATATTGGGACGGAGGGAATATATTATTTTATGATAGAAGTGGAGTTAATTGAAGAATAAAAAAAAATCTATAAAAACAAAATTAAGTATAAGTGGAGAGGAGACATATTGTGAAAAATATTAAAATTATAATATTAGGGGATCATTTGTGAGCAAGAAAATAGTAAAATATTGTTAAAAGATTTTTAAAAAGGAAATGGAACAAGTGATAAAATACAAGCGCAAAAGGAATGTGGATCAAGTAATAAAATAAGAAGGGAGTATTTCGTATTCCCATAAAAAAATACTCCGTATGACCGTATCATATCACTTCAATATCCGATAGATTTTTTACCGTTAAAAAGTTAGAAAATTTTGTATTTTACCATCCATAAATAACCCACTTTTTGACTACCATAAAAAAATTTATTTTAAAATACAACCCAAAAAAGAAAAAAAAAATAGATTTCACTACAATTTAACACTTTTTGTTATGTAAACCGTGTTGCCAAACGCAGCCTAGGTTTACTTAACGCAACCCTCTTTTCCTTATTTTTTCAACCCTAATAGAAATATAAAATTTATCTTTTCTCCTCATCTTTCAACTTGGTAAAACATAATAATAAATTTAAAATTTTCGTTACAAGAGTAACAAATTCGATTTAAAATACTAATTGGAATTGCAATGGATGACAATTTTGACCTAGAAGATCTCGAAATTAATGTAAGTTTTTCATTTTCAGTTATTATTTTCGAGTACACTTCGTGCTAAACGAGTGAAACAAGCTAGTCTATTTCGGCCAAATTGAACAAAATTGATGCCTATATTTCGCACATATTGAACAAAGTAGTCTTATTGATCAAAATAATATACTCTATATTGTACATATTGAACAAAATAGTATACTCTATTTCGTACATATTGAATAAAATAGTATAATATATTTCGTACATTTTGAACAAAGCAATAAGCTTTATTTCGAGAAGAAGTTGGCACAGATTTCGTAAGGGATATATTATTTTCACATCCTAATGTAATTGGTATGCTGCGTTTATTTCATTACGTTTTGATAGTTGATTGCACCTACAAGACAAATAAATATAAAATGTCTTTTTCAGAAGTAGTTGGCATGGTTCCAACTGGTATAAAGGTTAAAAAAAATGACTATATGGTATATTTGTTTTTAGAGTGGATTATATGGTATCTTCGTATTTAGAGTAAATTTATTAAATATTTTGCAAGCTTGAGTCCTCCTATAAAAATTCGTGGAGTTGGATGGATGTTTATTTTCTCTACAACTACCATGATAAAAGATTAAAAGGTGATGAAAAGAAATATTGAGTATTGATTTATGGTATGGTATCAAAAAATAAAATAAAATAATTATTATTTTTTTTTTGACAGGAAGCCTTAGCACAACACATATTATTAATTCATCAAGAGTTCAATATCGTTACATAAAACCCCCTGAAGTTCAGGAGGGACTTCTTCAAGCCACACACGATATTCACTGAAAGAAAAACTTAACTATGCTATAAGCTACAACATTTCCAGATCTTTTGACAAAGGAGAAACTACACCTCTGGCAACTATTAGCAAGCATTAAGATATCCTTCACCAATCTGCCGAAGTAGCAAGGAGGCATGGAGGCTCTTTTCAAGTGTTGAAACAAACGGATGTTATCAGTTTCCAGAATAAGGTTTCTAAAGCCTGCTTCCATGGCTATCTTGAGACTGGATCTCATGGCAAGAGCTTCACCTACATCCACATCAACCTTTCCATATTCTGTCAAACAGTACACCACCACTGCAGCTCCCTCCTCATCTCTCAGAACCCTTCCAATTCCCAGGTGTGTACCTTGGAAGGCTGCATCAGTGTTAAGCTTATACAACCCACCAATATGAGGCTCCCATCTCTCACTAAGTTGTCGCACATGCTGAACTCCATCAGGGGCTATATTTTCTTCTTCAAATTCCCCCACCAAGCTCATTGCTTTATGGATGACATCTATTTCACTTTTCTTAGTTTTTTCAAAAACCCATGCGTTGCGCTTCAACCATATTCCCCACGCCAGAGTCCAGAAAATGTCCCACCACTTCTTTTCCTTTATCTTCTCATACATCAAGTTGCACCATTCTCTAAATCCATTAGCCTCAACAGCACTCGTATCCAGCCACAATGTCGAGTGTCTCCAGATTGAGGCAGCATCTGGACAAAGAATAAGTGTATGGGCTGTAGTTTCCTCACCCTCCCCACACATGTGGCAGCGCTGATCTACCTACATACCCCTAGCCAGCAGACGACTCATCACAGACAGTCCCTCCCTCACACTTCTCCAAGCAAATAATTTGATCTTTGGTGGAACCTGAGCATGCCAAATATTCTTCCACTGAAAGTCAATATTTCAAGCAGACGAGGTAGCCTTCTTCCACCAAGATATTGTAGGCACTCTTGACACTATACCTCTCATCCTTCGAATAAAACCATGACCAACTATCTTCCTCTTCAAAAATAGGGACCGGTATGCTGGATATAGCATCAACTTCTCGCTGTGAGAACAATTCAGTGAGTATAGATAGCTTCCACCTGCGTTTGTCCCACATGTCCTTGACATACACCACTCCATCATTTCCCTCCCTCCTATGGGTCATGATTCGAAAATTTAGAAGGGTAGGCACCCAAGGGTCTTCCCAGATTCGAACACTACTCCCCTTACCTATAGTTTTTATTGCTCCCTTCTCTATCACCTCCCTAGCATTTAAGATCGACCTCCATGTAAAGCTCATATTTGGTGTAGCTTTGGCCTCAAAAAAATTTGAAGTTGGGAAATACTTACCCTTAAGAACCCGAGCCATAAGTGTGCCCGTAGTACTTACCAATCTCCAAGCTTGTTTTGCTAACATGGCCATGTTGAAGAAATTCAGATTCCTAAAGCCCAATCCTCCTTGGTTTTTTGCTCGAACCATTTTCTCCCAACCAATCCAACTCATCTTCCGTTCCTCTCCCTTTTTACCCCAAAAGAAATTTCGACACAATTTCTCTATCTCACCTAAGATGCCAACGGGGATAGCAAAACATTGCATAGTGTAGGCAGGTATAGCTTGAGCCACAAATTTAATGAGGATTTCCCTACCTGGTTGAGATAGATATCTTCCTTTCCACCCTTTGAGCTTCTTCCGAAGCCTATCCTGTATATTCTGGAAAATCTGTTTCTTAGAGCTCCCAATGTAAGTCGGGAGTCCTAAGTACTTGTTATGTCCTTCGACAACCTTAAACTCTAACTTCTGCTGAAGCATATTTTTCTTCTCAGGATCAACATTTCGGCTAAAGGACACCTCTGATTTTTCCATATTCAATTTCTGGCCTGACGCTATCTCATAGGTTGACAGTAATTCCAGCACCTTATCCGCTTCCTCCTCATTAGCCCGAATAAACAGAAGACTATCATCGGCAAAAAACAAATGGGAAATTGGCTCTACATGCCTACTAATCTTGACACCATGGATATGCTTTTTCCTTTCCGCATCCCTTAGAAGAGCAGACAAGCCCTCTGCACACATAATAAAAAGGAAAGGGGACAATGGGTCCCCCTGTCGCAACCCTCTACTTGGTTTAAAAATCCGCGACGGCTACCCATTCACTAAGACATCAAAAGAGGCTGATGATACGCATCTCATAACATTTGTCACATAAGACTCAGGAAAGCCAAATTTCAACATCATTTTCTCCAGAAAAGTCCATTCCACTCTATCATATGCTTTGCTCATATCTAGTTTCAGACCCATGTATCCTTTCTTTCCACTCTTCTTCTTTCGCAAAAAATGAAAGCACTCATTGGCCACTAAGATGTTGTCTGTAATTAGTCTACCAGGAACAAAACCGCTCTGATATTCTCTAATAATACATGGAAATATTTTTTTTAGTCTGTTAGCCAGAACTTTTGACACAATTTTGTAAAGGACATTACACAGACTAATAGGTCTATAATCAACAGGAGACTCACATTCTTTTTTTTCGGAATTAATACAATATGCGTCTGATTAATAGGACCTAGATCACTGCCATTATTTAACATATTCATACTACTTTCTATAACATCACTACCGACAACACTCCAGAATTTTTGAAAGAATATAGCAGACTTACCAACGGGCCCAGGGGCCTTAGTAGGATTCATCTGAAATAAGGCCTCACGCACCTCCTCACCAATAAAAGGGGCCTCAAGTTCTGCCCGTTGCGATTATGATATTGCAGAGTCCACTTTCTCAATCACCTCCTCCATTTCACATTGACCTCTTGAGGAAAATAAGTCATCAAAATGCTGCACAAAAACCTCTGAAATTTGTTCTTCATCACAAAATACATTCCCAGCCGCATCCCTCACTAGTTTAATATGATTCCTGGATTTTCTCTGGCTAGATTTTGTATGGAAAAAGGTCGTAATTTTTTCACCATTTTTTAGCCAATCCTGCCTACTCTGTTGCCTCCAATAAGCTTCTTCCCTCCTCTCTAGCTCATCCATTCTATCATTAAGAGCCCGAATTTTAGCAATAATCTCCTCTGTCTGTGATTCACCCATAAGACTTTCCATTGTGCCTCTGCAGTCCTTCATTTCTTTTATAAAGTCCCCGAATTTATTTCTACTCCAAGCACTCAAATTAATCGAGGTATGAGCAATTTTTGAGCAAATATCACCTCCCCAATTCCACACATCCTTCACTATATCACCACATGTTTCATCTCGGAGCCACATTTCTTCAAACCTGTATTTTTTCACTTTCTTTTTTTGTTTAATTTCCCTACCCCTTTATTGGTATAGAGTAAAATGGGCAAATGATCTGATTTCCTTTTCGGAAGATGGGTCACAAAAGATCCAGGAAAAAGATCCTTCCATGCGTTGTTTGCAAAGAATCTATCAAGGCGTTCTTGCACATTTCGAACACCACCCTGGTTGTTTGTCCAAGTATAGCTGTGCCCTACATATCCCAAATCCACCAGCTCACATTCCTCTACTGCCTCTCAAAGGATTTCTACTTCCCCCATACGAAACTCATTACCCCCTGCTTCTCACTCGATATCAGCATCAAGTTAAAGTCCCCTCCACATACCCATGGAGTATTTTGATTACGTCCAAGGCTTTCTAGTAGCTTGCAAGTCAGGTGTTTTTTTCTCCGCTTCCGGGTGCCCATATATTCCAGTAAATCTATACCCTTGTTTGCAAGGAAACTTCACCCGTAAATCAATATGGTGCAAAGAGTAGGACTTAACTTCTACCTCTAAAGTATCCTTCCATATCAAAGCTATCTCTCCACTACGTTTCCTGCCCTCCCCTTCACAACTGACAGCTAGAATATTATTAAAGTTCAGCCCATTCTTAACTTTCTCCATCTCATGGCTTTTTAGTCTTGTTTCCGACAAAACACAATTTGGGGTTTTTCAAGAATGACCACATTTTTTACTGAATTTACTGCAGAGGGACTCCCCAAACCCCTGCAGTTCCACGAAAGGGTGTAAATCATTGATCACCGAGAGCCCATGGAGTGGGGCCCGCCACTTGTTGCTCTGATCTTTCAACCTTTCGCTTCTTATTCATATTATCCACAACATCTCCATCTATTTCCATCTCGAACTCCCCACAAACCTCTTCGCACCCCCCTCTCTTGCCCCCACTCAACACCTTTCCCTCCTTACTTCCTTTGTTGTCTCTTTTTAAGATATTGGCCTTTCTAGCTGCTCTCCCCTTCTCCAACATAGTTATGTCTCCCTCCTTCTTATCCCCCTGCATACTCATCAGTATATCTTCCTCTCTAAGCTCACTGGCTTCCCCCTGCTTAACATTCAACTCCTCAATCACTCTGGGACTTATCTTTGCTACTATATTGTTATAGGTGGCACCTTCTACACCCTCCTTAACATTCCCCTCCTTACTTCCTTCCACACCCTCTCCCCTTTCAGCCTCACTGCCCCTCCCCTTTCCTCTCGCTTCACCTTCTACTATTGGTTTCTCAAGAAAATTTGACTCCTTTCCCCTATCTATTTTTGTACCTATTATTCTCAACACTAGCTTTTTTCCACTATCATCCCATACCGCAAGCAATTCAGCCTCCTTGTTTACCATAGCAACATTCCCATCTTTAGCATCCTGAGTAGACAAGGAAGCAAAGGCAAGTTTCCTAGCAACCCCAACAGGTCCCAATTTGACCACATCTAGGTCATTATATGAGGGCATTTTCTTCGTCAGGCCTGAGTTCTTTAGGCGTTTCACCCAATTTTCCTCTGCTTAGCTTCACGTACCACCGTATCAATTCTGGTTTTCCTTTTTGGGGATGCTCTCAGCCACGGTCCATACTGGTATACCATTTTATCCACCACCCCTTTCGCTTGCTCCTTGAACTGGCATTCTTTCTCTGTGTGATCCAGTCTACCACAGAAAAAACAAAATTCAGCTAGCCTCTCATATTTAACATCCACCCATCGAGGCTTGTTCTGCCCCATAGCTAAGAATAGTCCTCTTCGTAGTGGCTTATTTACATCCACTAGGACTTTTATTCGCAAGCAATCGTTGCACCCTAGGGGGTCAGATTCATCTGCTTCAACAAACCCCCCCTAAAAACTCTCCAACATCATACATTACTTCTAATGATCTCTTGTTCAACGGAACATCCAGTAATCTTACCCACATAGGGGTTTGCTTAAAGAAGATTTCAGACGGTTGTTCATCACCAATTACCTCTTGTAGGAGAAGCAATTTCTCGTCACAAAACCATGGTCTGCCTTCAAGCACCCTGTCTTTGTCTTCCTCACAAAAGAATTGAAAAACAAATAAGTTTGTTTCGACAACCCTAATTGCGAATTTCTTCTTTAATCTCCATATATTCACTAGAGTACTCTTCTTCGCTTCAAGATTGTAAGGTTTAACTGTCCATAATTTTCCCACCAGCGTAAGACTTATTTTGGCTTTGGTATCATCACTAACAATTTCTACATAATCACCCCCGAGCACTACACCTTCCTCGTCAGTCAATCTCAGTTTTTCCCAATCCTTCATCAATTCATCCCCCATAATTCACACCACACCAGAATCAGGGGAAAGCACTTTGGATAATGAGATTTTGATGCGATTTGATTACGAAAAAGGAAAAACTAAACCAATGAAACCCTAACTTGGGACTTACTCACCCTAGAGAGGGACTTTTGTCGGGCGGAAGTTAAAAAAAAAAAATTGTTATAATGGAGTAGGAATAAAATAAAAAGTAGCACATTTATTCATAACATATGAGCATCCTTATCTATGAACAAAAAAAAAAAAACCAACAAACAAACAAATTGTTCATGTTACTATTCACAAAAAGATATACTTTCTCGCTCATATACATCAACCAAACAAATAATTTCTAACATCCTCCTCTTAACCATGAACCAAAAAAAAAATTGTTCATGTTACTATTCACTTACCCCACCTCAATTTATCTTTTACTAAAAATTAAAGTACATACATAATTTACAATATATTAATCTCATGTGATATGTAATTGATATTATTACCGTTATTATTACCGAAATTAGTTACGCTTAGTATTAGGTAATTACGATTAGCGTTATTTGCGGGCAAAATTAGCTAAAACTATCGTAATTAGCGTTGTAAATTGTTTACAGTTAGCATAATTAGTGTTATTAATTAATTCGTTAATTTAAATGCATAATACAAATTTTTTTATTAATTGCAAATTTGAAAAGCAAAAAAAAAACCACCCAAGTGCAATAGACATAACACATACTTAACCGTTAATAGAATTGAAATCTAATTGTTATTTTTCTCATTACGTCTAAATTTCCTCCAAATGTGCTCAACCAAATCGTGTTTTAATTGCAAGTGAGCTTGTTGATCTTCAATATCTGTTCTTCGTTGCAAGTATATGTTGATGTCTACCACACGCTCGTTATTACGATACTCGAAAGCATCCTCATCATCGTATTTTTCATCGTCATCGAAAGCATCCTCTGGGTGTTGCCGGACGAGAAATATTGCAACCACTCCCAGGACCATATTATTCACCGTAATTTTGTTGGTAAATTGGTTCAATTGAGAAGTTTGATTGACTTGGTTGAGCATAGTTGAAGCTTGGTGGGTAATTTTGACAATTTCCCTCAAAATTCAGGGTGAATCTTTGAGGGATTACTTGTGGATAATTTTGTGGGTGATTAAGGGTAGTTTAAAGACAATTTTCTTGATGTATAGGATAATTGGGTGGATTTTGTTGTGGATTGTTTTTGGTTTTGCGCTTTGTTTGAGGTTTTGGATTATTAAGAACATAAATAGGAATATTTGGATCCATAATTTTTTTGGCTAGATTTGTGGAAGAAATTAAATTAAGATACTAACTGTTTTTTTAAGAAAAAATATGGTATCAAAAAGAGGTATTTTTTGAGGATGTCAAAAAATATATCAATATGGGTGTCTATTTATAGATGAAAAAATTATAACCGTTGGTGTTATTTTTTTTAATAATGTAGTTAAAGTTATAAACGTTACAAAAATTGTAACGTTAATAATCATTGGAGATCCAAGGGCATGGATGAGGACACATGGCGAGATCCAAGGGCATGCCTATGTCAGCAATTTACCTTTTTTTTTAATTTTAAAAAAAGTCACTTTTGGAGTAAAAACACTCAAAAATGTGAGTTTTTTGTCAGACAAATAATTTTCATGAATGATTTGGTTTTCCAAACCATTCAAACTTTTTTAAGCCACTATTCAACATCACTCATTTTTTTATATTATTTTATTAAAATAGTAACACAAATAATTTTATTTGTTCATTGTTAAGGATGCTCTAACAACTGAAGAAATTATAATCCAAACAAAACTATGTCGATCAACTATCTATTGCAGTTGATTTTGAGATATGGTTGTGGCAGCAAAACATGAATATTATCAAACTCTTTCACAATGGCTATTGCACGATCGAAATGTTGATATTGATTAGCTCATCTGCGAACGCTTATCATGAGGGTAAATAAGGCGTAGATAGTGAGCAATCAAATGGAGTCCCTGTAAAAGCAAAAAAAAATAAAATTTATTAATCATGACATCAATTTATCATAAAAAAAATAAAAAATTACTGCTTCAGCAACCCAAGACTTTAGAGCCAAAAGCAAGAATCAAGCTAATTTATTAGTATATATGTATAGAATCAAGTTGTATGGTTTTTCAAGTCCTATTAATTCGAGCTGCATATTTACTAGTATATATGTATATAGATTCATGCTAATAATCAAACTTTACAGGATCTGCCCGGGGGGGGGGGGGGAGGTTGCGGCCCTCTGGAGGACAGCAGCAGGTAGGGTGGTTGCGGGGCAGTTGGCTCCATGCCTAAGTGAGCAGCAGCAGGCCGCAGGTAGGCTGCGGCAACACTTACCTAGCCGCGGGCAGCTTGCGGCGTGGGCTGTTTTCCCCTCCCCTCCCAAGTGTAGCAACCAATCAACTTCAATTTCATGATATAAGTGTAGGCTACATGACTTTGTTAGAAAATGGAACAAGAAGCAGGAAAGGCAAATTAGATCATAGAATTAAACTAGCTAGCCATATATCAGAACGAAAGAATGGACCTAAATTCTAGCATTATCAAATAGGACAACTTTTAATAATTACATATTGAAATACAAAGACCAACACAAGTTCTTAGAAGTTAGGTAAGGTATGTCATCACTAAGCTGAGGACATTTGGAGAAACAAATTCAACTTCAAAATAA